GAGGGAAATGACAGAGGCAGGAAAGGATAAAAAAGGGGGCAGGAAGGTCTGGTCAAAGATAGGTTTGTTTTGGCAGCAGATGGGTGGGACAGATGATGCAGAGGTGCACTCCAGAGATAGAGAAACAGAAGGCAAGAGATGATGAAGAGAGAGAAGGTCCATGATAAGGAATCAGGAGCCAGGCCAAAGATGAGGCTGGGAAAAGCCTCACTTTGTAGTTATTTTGCTTTGGTTGGTCCTCAGAACAGTGGTTCAGGAGCAGTTTACATCCCTGCACAGTGCTCCCTCTCTGCTGACTCACACCACCAACTTACAAAACACATAAAATTGAGAAGAATGAATGCAAGTGTCAGGAGATCTGCCCCTGTTCCTAGCAGTCTAAAAAGGAACTTGTTTATGCCACCTATGAAAGAGCTGTGACACATTCCTTCTGTGATGGAATGATCCCACTAGGATCACTTTTGCTGAGCAACATTGAGCATATTTTTCTCCAATTCATCTTTCCAGCGTGATTTACTCCACACATCCACTTGGAAAAACATGCTCAGCACCACCACAACAGCTGCACAGTAAAGTCCATCACTATATTGATAGATCATGGTTTCATTTCTTGCCCAAACACAGACAACAAGGAGCTGCAATACGAGGTGCACACAAATCCTGTCCCTGAGCTTTACTGTCTCAGGAAATGACAAAGCAAATCCATCCAGGACAATGAAGCTAATCCAAAAGAGCCCCAAATGCCAGCATGGATAAGATTTGAATATACCCTCTGAAGACCCTAACTTAGAACAGCACATTGTATCACCTGCAGCAAGTTAGTCCTTGGAGGATGGCATTACCATCAGGTTTGGTTTGGAAGAGCCATCAGCAATTACTCCATCTTAACCACCCTTTTTCCAGGATGGACGAAAACCAGAAGCAGTAAAATACTCCAAAATCCTGCAGCCTCATATGTTGTTCTAGGGAATATTTCAATACACATCTTTGTATGTGGAAAGAGCCCCTTCCCACACCTACCCCATAAGGAGCACAACAGATCCAGCTCCCAGTTACTCCATGTTATTGATGGAGTTTCAAAAGAGTAGTTTTGAATGCCATTTTTGGAATCTGAGTCTGCCAGGTCTGGCTATTCTCTCTTAAGACTAAATCAAATGCTTCTCAGGCTTTCCTGTCTAAACCATATTGTTCCTTCTGGGCCCTTTGGCTATATTTTATGAAATAACTGATGTTCTCTATCTCCAGGGGGCAATTTATTACTGCTTCTACCAACACGGAACCATATGATCTAATACATCTCTTCTAGTTCTGTCTTTTGAGGTTTCTATAATCTTTCCAGAGATTTTTATTTTGCTCCTAAAGAATGGTTTGTGTACCCTACAATTTGTCCCATGGATATTTCTTGGTCTGAAAAAGACATTCCCTCTCCATAGACACTTTGCCAGATACTATCTAAGCAGAAGCATTGCTCCAGAGGCAGAGTGCATGGAATTATTTAATATTTTATTAATTTTGGTTAACTCCCAGAAAATTCACAATTACTCCATTTCTTCTATCCCTAGCATTACTCTGTGCTTTCTCCTCTTCCTGGACCCTCACTGGCACTGTCCCAGACCCCAGCCTGCCCAGCTCACCCTGACTGGCTCATTGTGTGCAAAAAAATTCTAAGAATAGGGTCTTCAGAGAAAAGCTCTCTTCCTCCAGTCAGGCCTGGTAACTCTAAAGCAGCATCAGTAACACAATCAGATCCTGGAACTGGCCATAGAAGAAACTTAACTCTAGCCCAAGATCCTCCATGGGCAGATGTTTGAACCAGAGTTTTACCAAGCACCTTGTACACATTTACTTCAGCTGGGTGCCAAAATCAGCGGAGCCTGCAAATTGAGCTTGCTCCCATGTAGTTACATGTGGGACCCAATTCCAGGTGCATCAGCATCCTGGTATGAGCTGCTTTTTGAGGGAAGGATCCAAAGAAAAGGAAGGATTTGAGATCTGGAGACAACATGGCCCAGATCCTGCTTTAGACATCCCAATGAGGCTCTTAATTTGCTGCTTTGCTGCACTACACACACACACACACACAAACACACACACATATTTACTTTTTTCCCCCATATACCCCAACTGCTTTTGCTGCTTCTTGAGAAGGATGGTTTTGAAATATCCCTTCCAAAGCTCGGGCAGATGTTTCCAATGTTGGTGTTTATTAAGTTCCTGTGGCAGCTGTTTCCAAGGCTGCTTTGTCATACATTTCTTTGCAAGAGACCAAGAATGGCAGAGGGGCTTTGCAGATAAGCATTTCAATTGCAACCTTTATACTAAAGTGTAATAGGAACATTGGGGAATTAAATAAAATTATATTTTTCCTAGATGTCTGCTCAAAAAGGAAATTCAAGATTTTATGGATGCCCCAGAGACAAACTATTACATTACATTCCTCACTGTTCTTATTTGAGTTCTGTCTGTTTGAGCACCTCAAATAGCACAGAATCATTCATAAAGAATGGGCAAGAGAGACTGTGTCCCATCAATATTTCAAGCTTGGTTATCAAATCAAGAGAAATTCATGAGTTCTGCTCCAGCTCAACATTTTCAGGTTTGATACTATTGTTTGACAGTTTAGAGGGTTTTCCCTCTGCATTCTCATTGTCATTAATATTTTATATAATGTTCCAGTTGATGCTATTGTAATATTTATTATTTTTTTTCACTTGGCTGTACTAACCAGTTTTTTCCTTTCTCTTTCAGCAGGGAGAAATTCACACTCATTTGCTATTTGTGGGGTGATGACATAGTGTGAAGAAGCAGTAATGATGACTGACTGATAGAAGACACCATATGTTCTCTTCATTTTTCTCTGTGCTATTTTCTGAGACATGAATAAAGACTCAGTATAAGATAAGCTTTCCTATATATAGTACTAAAAAAAATTTGACCTTTTTTCCCTAAATAATTGGCAGGATGGGAGAAATTATCTTTTTCCTAAAGCATTCAAACAGTATTGCTATAAATATCAGGCTCCAAATTACCAAGAAAAATAATTTCCAGTCTTTTCCACCAGAAACATTTTACATGTATCCAGGCACCAGAAACAATTTTGCAATTAATTCCACTCACCCCCAAACATTCTCCATCTTTCCACAGCAAACATTTTGAAAATATAAGTTGCATTTGCTGATGACTAAGCAAAGGTAAACAATTCCTTCCTAGATTCTATATAGGACTCTAAGTGACTGTGTGCAATGCATGATAATCAGAAATCCTGATTATAAGCACACTAGATCACGATACTGGATTATATGCTGGGGTATTTCTTTGCACCCTGAGTGTCTGAGTCCGTGCAACTAATAAAACAGAAGATTCCCTTCAATAAATATTGTTTTTGCTTTAACATGTTTTAATATCAAAATAATTGGAAATCTCATTTCCTAGAAATAGCAGAATAAAAATCTTTTATTGTTCTAGAATACGCATTTACCAAGTATATTATTTTCCTAGATAAATAATTCCCTTTTTTTTCTCTGTCCTTTTTGTTCATTCTACCCTCTCAAAACCAAGGCTTTGCTTTTGAGAGGGTAGAATGATTGGTGATTGTTGCTCTTCCTCCTAACTTTGTAATAGTCACTAACCAGCACCAGACCACAGCAGAGCCACACATGTATCTGCTAATAAGCAGTCAGGAGCAGAAACAAAGAAGTAAACAAAAGGGATTCACATTGCCTTCTGTTCCATTGGAGACAGAGAGGGAAAAAAAAAAAATCAATCCTCCAAACACAAAAATAACCCCCAGAAATCATTGGTTCAAGATTCCTTATTTTTCAAATTCACAGGAATTTGTTGTAATGAATGGAGCCAAAATTGGAGAAAAACCTAATTGTGAGTCCTGCAGGCAGCAGGGCAGATAACTCGCTGTCAATGGACGTAGTGCCAGGACTCTTGTTTGGGCTTTGTTTTCAAGGTCATCCATTTAAAGCATTTTTCATAACACAATTCCTGAATAAGGAATAGAGAGCCACAATCGGGCTGCCCTGCTCACAAAGGCACCAGCACAGATGTGGCAGGAAAGGTTCCTTCTGCCAGGAGATGGCCCTTGGAGGGCGTTTGCTCCCTGGTCACCTGCCATAGCAACAGATACCGAGCAATGTTTTACATTTATAGTATGCAACTCACTTTACCCAGTTATAGACTTATTCTTTTGCTGTGACAGCTTATGCACCCTGCAACATAGAGAGCAGGACAGAAGGTGCTCAGGTGAAGCAATGACTGCAGTTTTCACATGTTATTCTTCCTTTGAACTCCAAGTGACATGGATGCATCTTCCCCTGGAAAACTGTCACGTGCACCTTCTTTTCCCATGGCAATGAAGTTACCCAAAGTCTGATCTCGAAACTCTCATTTAAATACTCCATCCTACTAGCTGGCTTGCTTAAGGACTACAGACTTGGGTCCCTAATCAATGCTTTAATAAATAACACCTACTTAGAACAATTGATTGCTAGGGAGCAGACTAAGTGTAATATATTTCTGCTAATCTAGTCACAGGATAAATGTCATAGTTTATTTATAAGACACACCCGAAATTATTCTGAGGGCTGTAGATAGGATCCATCTTGACACACATTTCACACTGCACAGTGTCAGGTGGAGGTGGGTGGTGGTCACTCAAGGCAGCATGTCTGGCATTGCTTGTTGGCAATGTAAACAAGGTTTACATTGAGGTTCCCGCTGCCCCCAGGCTGCCAAAGCTCAGCTCCGTGGCTCCCCGGCAGCAGGGGCAGCTCCCGGGACCCACACTCCAGATTGAGGAGTGGGTGCAGAGCACAGTGTACCCCTTGATGCCAAGCTCTGGGGGCATTATTCAGTCTAATTAAACGGAAACTTCATTACACTAGCAATAGCCAGGCATGCCACCGAGGCCAGTCTTGGGGATTATAGCCATGCCCCTGTTTTGCTCTCATGAGATTCTTTATTCTGCTGCACATTTATGTGGGAAAACCTCTCTGTATTTCAGGGTGGAAAATAGCCAGCAGAGAGTGCAAGAGGCCCCTTCTGTGCTATTACTCCACAGTCCATATCCAAGCTCAAGGTAAGGCACCTTGGTGCCCACTATGCCCTGGCTACAGTGTGTCTGCTCCAGTTTGTTCTTCGAGGACATCACCACTTCAATTCTCTTCCGATTACTTCTCTATCTGCCCTTGGTGTGTGTGTTCACAACCGTCTTTTGGGAGTATGGGCCACCGATCTTCCCAACCAGTCTCAAAATACATATCTATTCTACAAATTTCAGCCTGGAGCCCGGAGGAAACGCCCGCCAGGATGCTTGTATGCACACAGAGGATATGGAGGAGCCTCCCTTCTCCTTTTCTCCCAGACGACACCCCTGCAGCCCGCCCGGACCCTTCTTTCCTCCCTCCCCGCCCGTGCCCCTCGGAGGGTGCAATATTCGCCCGGGAGCCGCGCGGGCTCGGGATGCGGAGCCGGGAGCGCGCAGGGCGGTCACAGGCTGGGCCCGCAGCGCCCCGCTCCGCGCGGACCTGCCCTGCACACAACGCACGATCCCCGCCGGCGCCGCCACAACGGCTCAAACTTGAGAGGCGACAGCACCTCGGAACGGCGGCGGCCCCGGCCGGCCCCGCCCGCGCCGCGGCGGGGGAAGATGCGCCGGGGGCGCGGCAGGAGCGGAGCGCTGCCCGCCGGAGGCCGCCGCACCTGCTGCGGAGGTGCGCGCCGGGCGCGGGCGGCGGGGCCGGGGCCGGGGCCGCGGGGCGGGGTGCGGGAGGCGGGGAGCGGGGCGGCGGCTCCCGTCTCGGGCGGGCTGTCCCGCTTTACTCTCCCCGCCCCGCCGAGCATCGCGGGCGCGGAGCCGCGGCTGCGGCGCGCAGGGCGGCGGCGGGAGCGGCGCGGAGGATGCGCTGAACGAGCGCGGAAGGCGGCGCGGCCGCGGCGCAGGTCAGTGGCGAGACCCCCTGTCCCCGGGCCCGGGACGCGCTCCGCCACCCGGATCCCCGCATCCACCGGCCGCTCCCCAACTTTTCCCCGCACCACTTCGGGAAAGTGACCAAACTTGCGGCGGGGCCGCGCTGGGGCCCCTCGTCCGGTGTCCCCTCCTCATCCCCGGCGGCGCGACCCCCTGACCTCGGGGCTGCTCTCCCGGCTCCGGCGTTCCCAGCGCCGGGAGCTGCGGTGCGGGAGCCGCGGCCGCGCTCGGGCCGGGCGCGGTGCGGGTCCCTCCGCCCCAGCCCGCTCCGCTCCGCTCCCCGCCAGCCGGGCGGGGCCGGCCCAGCCCCGCTCGGGCACCGGCACCGGCACCGGGACCCACCTCCAGGGCACGATGGAGCCGGCGGCTTCGACGGGCTGACCGCTCCTGGGTACGGGTCCGGCACGGGTTTCTGTAACGAAAATACGGGTCCAAAGCAAACTAGTTGACAAATGCAGGATTCTCCCTAGACTGGAAACCCAGTTCATCCGGAGTTCAGTCTGTGCGAGCAGGAGCGGTACGAGGGGACACGGAGGCACTTTTTAATTTCTGGAGCTATCTTTAGAGAACGGGAAGGGTTTCTTTGGGCGCTGCTCTCCCGCGGGAGTGCTTTTCAGCACGTCCCGATTGCCCTGCCCCTGCTCGCAGTGCCCCTTTACACCTCAGCCAACCCTCCAGAACGGGTATGTTCAAACCACGGCAAACACACAGCAAAGAATGATTTGTACAGCCCAGGGTGCTGGTGCTGGGCAACCGGACAGCACCCTGCTGACATCTGGGATTCCCGGGTGCTGCCTGTAGAAGTAGCCAGCAATGATGTGATACCTGGTCGTAGCTGTGTCGTTAGTTTTTAAAGATTTTTCAGGAATTAGGAAAACCCCTTATTTTAATTGTGTTATAATATTGCTTTCTATCTGTAGCTGACATATGTTGCATGTAGATTAACATGTTTTTAAAAACCCAGAGATACTCTTTTTTTAATGTTACACACCTACATAGAAAATTCTTGTATTTTATTGCAAGATTTAAAAGTTGTAGCTATTAGGAGAATAGACTGTATCTACAGCACCTGGGAGAGAGAGTGAATAGTAAACCTGAACAGTCTCAGAAATGAAAATTGGAAATGCTGCTGCTAAATCTGTTTTGTTTATCTGTGATGCTCACCATTTGACAAGAAAGCTATCCTCAGTTTATCCCGAGAAGATTTCATTTTGTCAGATGCCTAATGTCTCATCAATTCCTTTCATGTCCCTGGGATTTTCTCTTTTCCAGGATCAGGCCACAGCAGCTCTCTGTGTTGGGGATAACTGTTAAGCTCTTCTTTTGAATTCATGAGCTTCCAAATTAAACTTTTGCTGACACCTGCTACCTAGCCTGGTTGAGCATAATGACAGTGTCACCCAGGCTACTGGAGCTCTGCCACCAAATGAAGTAAATTGCAACCACAAATAATTGTAAGGTGCCTGGACTAGGTAGCACAATGATTTGGGGAACATCTGGGAAACTCTGGCTACTGGAAATCCAATCAAAGTCTGTTTCTAATGGAGCAAACTTTCCAACAGCAATCATAGACAGGAATTAAATCCATAGAGTAGATGGCAACAGAGATTAATAATCATCATCAATTAGCTGCTGGAAGCAAACAGAACAAAATGAGGGTAAACAAAAAACCTGTCTCCCCCTCCCCCTTGAACGCAGTCCCACCTTCATTTATCCAGAGTCAAGGATCTCTCCTGAGCACTGGTTTCAAATGCCAAAAAATTTAGCAGGTGTCATAACATAAGGTCAAGACTTAATTATTTATATGGAGACATCAATCATCCGGTGGGGATGATTTATTTATAAATCACCAGAGCTGTAACACATGACAGTGAATTCTGATTTCCTCCTGCTCCTTGCTGAAGGGCCCAGGAAGGTCCACACTGTGGCCAAAGGGCCCCAGGAGCATATAGAAGTTTTTGCCCAGCTCCACATGGAGGAGGCTTTTCTACACCTTTTAGATCATGCAACCAAAATATCACCGGGGAAATCTCATGCATATTTGCTACATCTCAGTAATGAACATTTACTGATTATGGATTATCTGGAGAATTTAGCTTTTTAAACATTATTCAAATTTTTATGTTTATGTAAGCTAATAAGACTGAGGAGATTCAGTAACTACTCTTTGCCTTATGGTATTTGAAAAGAGTGTCCATGGGGCTTAGCTCAGCATCTTTCACAGTCGCTTTTAAAAGACTAAAATAGAATTTTTCTGCCTGAAAAAAACTACCCTATCCCTACTCAGTATAATGTTCTTTGCTCACAATTAATGCCAAAAATCAATTTTCTAATATGCTTTTTATGTTTCTGCTGAGCACAAACAGGATGGCACAGTAAAAGCTTTTATTGCCATCTGATTAGGCTGCAGTGGGGGTAAGTAAGTGGCTTGGGCCAGCAGGGCTGCGAGATTGCTGTGCTGGATGCAGCAAACACGGAGAAGGGCATGGCATGCTGAGCACCAGCCACAATCCTGCTCTCAGGGTCGTTCAGGGAAATGTTACCAGCTCTGTGGGAAAAACAGGATCAGGCCCATTAGGTTTTCTGATAGCTGGAAAAAGTCATGAACATGTGCTTGGGCTGTTCCTTAACCTCCTCTTCTGGGATTTTGATAAAGGGTTAATTACAGCCAGGGACTCTCAGAGATTTGACCATTTATTTTTCTGTTAAGAGGAATCATGCTATTGATCTTATTCACATGACCGTTTTTCAGGCAGGGAGGTGATTAACTTTGAGGGAAACTGGTAAAAAAATAATATGGGAAGAGAGATGGAAAAGAAAGTTATGGTTAAAATAAGAGCTAGGACATAAGGTTTCCTTTGCTTTGCCATCATTATCTGTTGGGTAGCTCAAGCCCATCAGCTTTACCTTCAAGAAAAGAGGAGCATGAGGAGTATCCAGGGCATCGTGTGATCCTTCTGAACTTCATGGCAGGACTCCATTTTGGCAAGAACAAGTCAATAAGCTCTCCTGCACATCCATTATTCTATTCCCACTGATTTTAAAAGAAGACCATTTATCACTGTATTTCAGTGACAGAAATACTAAAATAATGTTTCACTGGGCTTATAAAGAGGGTGTGAAAAAGGATGGATGAGCTGGCAGTGTCTTCAAGGAACAATTAAGTCATTAAGTGTGGGAAAATATTTTTAGGAAATAACTGATTAGTGAGAAAATAGAAATTTAGGACCCGATTCAGTTATGATATGTTCCTCAAGCACCCTCTGAATTTTGCTCAGAGCATGTGAAAAAAATGAAAAATTCATAGTATTTCTTGTAGGCAAGACCAGTCATCTGCTTGTGTGTTTTTATGGAATACTGGGTATATTTATAGCATTTAGTAATTCTAGCAATGTAAAGAGTAACAGATGAATGTATCGTGAAGCAAGGCACTGGAAAGGCAGGTGGGAAATTATTTCCAAAATATTGCAGCAACCAGGCTGGGAGAAATCTAGTACGATGGTAAACATAACAGACCTAGGTGACTTCAAGCAAAGCCAGGGTTAAAGCCCAGGCTGAGCCCTGTGCACAGGTCCTGTGGAGGAGGAGAGCCAGGACTCCTGTGTGTGAGCCCAGCAGAGGTGGCCTCCATCCATGCCACTCCAGCCTCAGTGCATCCAAGGGCACGGGGGACAGTAAAATTGCAGTTGAGTGCAGAGAGAAGAAAGGAAGAGAATGAAATTGTATTGGCTCAACTGCAAGAAACAAATCACAGACTTCCCTAATCAGACAGATGATGCCTAACTAGGGCACAACATGAACCAAAAAGAAAGGTGGCAGATTTCACAAATTAGTCATGGCAAAAACGGTGAATTTCACAGCTTGAAGTGAATTCACGTTATAGGATGAAACAGCACAAAGTGATTAAGAGCTCTATCTGATAGGAGCAATAAGCATGTGAGACTTAGTCATCATACAGCAGCCGATTGTCTCTGGCTTCAGCTGAGCCACAGGAGCAGCCCTTCAGCCTCCAGTGTTTGAAGCTGAGTGGGAGCTGGTGGGGACAATCACAAACAAGATCCCACAGATGTTTGCTGGAGTTTTCTGCTTCTGTGAGGTACAACCATGGCAAGCTGGAGCTGCCATGTAGGGAGATGTTCTGCAGGCACAGATGCCACCACTGAAACCTTGGAGCTGTGGCAGCAGGACCAGCAGGACCTCATCTTCACAGCACAACCCCACTGGTGAAAAGCAGAGAGGGAAGACAGCAGAAAAAGATTGGAACAAGGGGGGACACTGTTGCAGCACACTCCCTGCCATGCTGGGGATGACCTTCCAGGTCTGACAGTGCCATTTGAAGAGCCACTAGGTCCTGGCACATGCCACCTCATAGTAACCACACCACAGCATGCATCCCTAATAGAAAACAAACATTAAGCAGTCTGTTCCCATTTTCTGTTTTTTCAGGGGATCAAAACCAGTGTCACAAGCCTCTGTCACAGGTGGTGTTGCATGACTTTTGCTGGCAAAACGTTGTAATAGCTGTGACAGCACACTTTGAAGGAAATGTCTGTTAACAGATACTGCAACGTTACCCTACCACTTGTATCCCTGCTTAGATGAAGATAAAAATTCTGGAGAAAAATGTCACCATTATATCTTAATCCTTTTGTTTCAATGTACACGTTTCTATCATAGCTGTTGAAAATCCATAGAGCAAAATGGAAGCAAAGTGAGCTAACACCAAGCAGGACAGGGCCATCCTGGAGAATTCCTCCTCTGGCAGCAGAAGCCCAATTGAAGCTGTTCCCGGTGGCAGGCCGTGGCCAGGCTCGGGCAGTGCCCTGAGTGGAGCCGTGCCAGGGGGGTTAACACACCCGAGCTGGCAGGCAGAGGCAGAGCCCTTCAGGGAGCAGAGCTGGCAGCTTTCCTCTGTTTATTGAGGGTGTTCCAGCACCGGCGGGTCCACCGAGCACAGCTGTGTTAATATTGTGCAGGGAGAGGGGAAGCTGAATTTGCCAGGACTGAGGGCACAGAGGAACGTAATGGGGCAGTGCCAGTTCCTTCAAATCCCACCTGGAGCTTATTAGCCATCCACAGGGGGTGGCAGAGCACCTGCACCACAGATCATCCCACACTCACCCTCTGTGCAGAGTCCAGCTGCTCCTCGACTGAGCGCTGCAGGGCCACAGCTCCACTCCTCACCCAGCACAAGAGGATTTCCAGTTGTACCGTGAAGAAAGACCCCAAGAGGGATTGATCACTCTTGAACAAGGATGCAAATACAAAGTTTAAAAAGAATTATCATTTCTAAAGCATTTTGAAAGGAATGCCCTTGGAGCCCTGGTTAGGAACTAGAAAGGACTTCTAAGAAGGCAGTCGGGGTGAGAGACCCTCTTCTCCTACAATGATTTTGGAACCTGGCAGGTTTTAAGAGATCTTGCAGTAACATTTTGCAAATCAATGCTAATTTGATGTATCGGAGCTCAGCACCGTGCCAATTCATTGTCAAACCAGTATTAACTAGGCATTTTTGGGGAATGCCTATAGCTCAAGGTCCATTAAATATGGAAACCTGGCAATATTTCACCACCCTTAAAACACTTAATTTGAAATGTGCATCAGAGCACCCATAAATGGTCTTTCAGTCTTCATCAGAATGAAGCCTCTCTCTCTTGAAAGTGCAAGTCAGTGTCCTGGGAGAGGGGCTGGTGGCTGTGCTTGGGATGAAGACAGGAGGCAGGAGGGGCCTGATGCTGCCTGCAGTGCTGCCACAGAGAAGCACAGCCACGTTAAGGTCTGCTAGGGACTGATCTGCCGACCACCATTCACACAACAACCAACCTGGAGAAAGTCAGGAAATGTTAATGAAATGGCAATCCTCGAGAGAGCACTAATTACTCACCTCGGGAAAGGTGGCCAGATCAGTTGCATAAACTTTCTGAGTGCTTTTTGAACCTGAGTGCCTGTGATCTGACATTCACTTAAAGCTAGGAGCTAAATAAAAGTTGCTTTATTTTTTAACAGTTGCTAATTTAGCCAAAGCTGCAAGAGATCTTGGTCTTTAAGTCTGGGTTCCTTTAATGCCTGCACAGAAACAATTGAAGACATGTTAGTTTCTCCTTCTGTTCAGTGTGATCCTCAAATACAGACCCGATCCCCTTCAGAGTTGGGAGAATCACAGCACTAGTTAGCTGGTGACATGTATATTTAGATGACTGACTTCAGGCACCTACATTTGAATATATGATTTAATATGCCTTCATTTTTATGTCCTGAAATTGGGATACTACTTAACTCAAAGAAGATCAATTAATTTTTGTGTTGCTTTTAAGTTCTTTAATGGAAGATGTTACATAAATAATTATTTAATATACTTTAACACTTTTTTTTTGCATGAGCTGCTTGATCTGCTTAGAGCATATAAATCAGTATGAGCTGCATTAGTAAAATAAGTTCAGAAATCTAAAGAGTACATCAGAAGTTAGACTAGTGCATAAAAAGGGGTAAAAGCTAAGTTGCTCTTTCATTGGCAAAAGCAGACAGATTGGTTTTTTTGTGAACCTTTAGACTTCTCATTTCTCAGGAATCACAAAATCTATTTGTGAAAAGATCTAGGAAATAAAGAAAGAAATTGTACAAGTGGCATCCTGGTCAGTAAAGCATGTGAGTCTGCAGGCACACAGACAGGATGATGCCATGAATCTCCCCTTTGTGTTGCAGTTCAGAAGAGGAGTTATTTTCTTCATCTGAGCAGATGCCAAAGGCTCGAGAAGGGCGAGCGGACAGAATGCAGCCCCTTTCTTGCAGCAGAAATGTATTTGCCTGGTTTCTCAAGTAAGAGAAGAGAGAATCCCATCCTAATCTGCAGTGATGAAACCTCTTTGTCTGGGGGTTATCCCAACACTGGGTGCAGGGCAGAGACCGACCAACTATTATTTCATCCTTCCATCCTACAGACCAGAACTTACTCCATCCAACATAGATTTCCACATCCAAGAGTTTTAGGGAAAGTTCCTTCCCTGCATCTCTAAGATATACAAATACTTCCATGCTTTTTTCCATCTGTCCCTGAAAGCAGACTTTATCACACTCACATGCAAAAATATCCCTCTCACACTACAGAAGCTAATTTATTACTTTTCTGGCTTTTCTTTTCAGCCATTATTCAGATCCCATTGTTAGTGTTTCTTCCAGTAATACCAAAGCCCTGTGACAATGTTTTAACGAGTCACTTAAAACTTACTAGCAAAGTAATTCACATCTGCCTGTTAGTTATGGCTGTGTGATCCACCCAAGGAAGCTGCTGTCCAATAAATTACTGAACTGTCTGCCTTCACACAGTGCTCCCCAAACTCTCTAGCATCTCTTCCCTGCTTTCTATCACCTAACTTAGTGCCAAGATGAAGGATGACAGCTGTTTCAGCATTTAATGCCAGTATTCCTTTGCAGACTAGGGGAAGGGGATTTCCTTTCAAAATGCCACTCTCCCACTGAGACTGGCAGTAGTATTATCTCACATCTTTAAATACCAGTCTTGGAGTTATTGGTGTGACATCAAGGTGCAGAGATTTTATGATGCACAAAATTTACATGAGCATTTTCTTGCTTTGTTTTTTTTTTCAACATTTAAAATCTCAAGTTACTTTTGAATACTTGAATTAATTAATTAATCCTTTTCTCATAAACACTCTAATTGTTTAATGCTTTGGAATAGCACTGCCCATATTGTTTTGTGTATGCTGCCACTCCTGCAGGTTTCGGTGTCTCCTCCCAGCATTAAATGTTGTATATGCTCCTAACACGTGTGAGTCTACAGCTCACATAAAGCTCTTCCATTCTGTACCTTACACAGGAGGGCTACTGTACTGATAGCAGCCAGTACGTAGTATCTATAAATTACAACTATCTACAAATCACACCTACCTGCACTGTGTTCTTCTGATACGTTATTAACCTCTGTTGCAGCACTTTTACTTCAAAATACTAGAATCAGCTTGTTATTCTACCTTTAGTTTACACTGGGAGAAACCTCAGCTCAGGATAATGTCAGGAGATTATCTGAGGTCTCTGTTATAGTAGCAGTATGTATTGCTAGCACAGAAATTCATCTCGTTTTCATAAATATTTGATGGGGCTCTATCATCCTCATCATCATTTTGGGCTGGTTGGAAGAGGATCCCCCCGCGATTGCAACCCATTTCCAAGTTGTCGTGGAAAGTCACTTGGTGATATTTCAATCACAGTGTTCTTATTACAAATTCCATTCAAATTCTGTCTGAAAGGGAGTTAAGGTTTCATCCTGCTGCTTAGAGAATGATATGCTAAATGCAGCTTCCCATGGGCTTGGCTGCAGTCCAGCACTTTGTAATTTATAGTTCTCCTTCCGAGTTCTGGCTGTGACCTTGGGACTGCATGGTGAAGTTCTCCCATTTTGCTAAAGCCCCTTCCAGGAGCCCTTACCCCTTCCCAGGCAGCACAGGGCAGCTCCTGGGACATCAGGGAGTGCTCTGGCACACAGGCACATGGGAGCAGCAGCACAGGGCAGTGCTCATTTCCTCTCTTTCACTGATGGGAGCCAATCATGGAATGTTGTTCTTAAATGACAGAAATTATTAGGTAGCTTCAAAGCATGAAATTCATTCACAGAAGAGGTTTAAATTATATTAGCCAAAGGTGTTTTCTGCAGAGACAGCCACAAAACAGCTCTAATTTGAGATCTCCAAACAGCTGTTGTGCCCTATGTATTTATATTGAAAAGATAACTTGGAAGATTATGTTAACATGCAATTAAATTTTAAAAAAGTTTTAACATAAATACTGATCTTATTGATAGCATACAGGGACTGCCTAAGAGGCTTTTCTGAGAAATGTGTGTGTCCATGGCCAGAGGAACTGACAACCCAGATTGTAACACACGCCACTTTTAACAGAAAAATTGTGTAATTGAGAGAAATTATTGGCCCTTGAAGATTACATTCATTATAGATTGTAACAGAGATATGTCTTCAGAATGACTGCAGTTCTCTTCACTTAAAGAGCTATTCAGGAATACCAGTGTTTGAGCTCATGGACATAGCTGCAATTGTTTTAGCAGAGTTAGTGAGGGAAAGCAATTTAGAGGAGGGTACAGCAGACTCATGCAGCTCTTTTGTTTCTTTATTCTTTCCAGATTTTTCAAGGACATACGTTCTGAAAGTACTTACCTATTTGGATTCCTTAGGATGGAGGATAATTTTAAAATTAAAAAGGACGACTTTTAAAATAATTATTTAAAAATTATTTTTTAAAATTTAAAAATCGTTATAGAAGTCTCTTAGACTTTTTATTTCACCAGTAATTGCCATGGATTTTCTGCAAAACAAGTGATATGGATGTAGCTTTGAAACCAAAGAAAAACAAATCTTCATTTTTTTCATTTGGTCTTCAAAGTATATAATCTGACATTTTTTGTGATTGGCACTTACCATAAATGAACCTTCTCTGTATCCCAGTTGTATCCCAGTTGTATCTCTTTTGAAGTGCTTCTTCTATTACCTGATGTGAAGACATCAGAGAATAATTATGTTAAGTAGTTCTTTGTAAACAATAAACCAGCAAACCCAAGAAACTCCTTTTGCTAGGGAGTTTGCTAGGTGCTCATCACCAAGATACCACTGGTAAAACATACACCAGCTCCCTGGACCAGCCTAAAAATGGTGGCCCTCCACTGGAGAACTTCAGCAGAAGTATGTTTGGCTTTTTTGCTTCACTTGTGACATACTCCAGTGAGATGGTTCCTCCCGTGGGTGGTGCTCAGGGGTGAGGTGTGTGGACAGGCCCCGGGGCAGTGGTGCTGTGTGTGCAGAGACCTTTGCAGCGGCACCGCGACGGGAAAGGACGGCTGGCAGTATTTATGGCAGGTTTCTGTGCAAGAGGTTTCTGTGCTCTACACTGAGTATTTATTCTGGCAGTAGCTCTAATTGTGCTGTAAACCACCCTGGGTGCTGGTTGCTGTGTGCCCAGGAGTTTGACTAGAAGCCAGCCAACAGTGAGCTCTCTGATAATGGTGCATCATTTCGCCGCCGGAGCCTCATGCCCGTGGGTAGCAACAGCCTTCCTGCTTCCTCCCACGCTCTCTGAGCAACCAAATCCCATCTCCAGGGTGTCTTCTGGATGATAAACTTGCTGTTGTTTATTATTAGCACACCGTGAAGTGTGAGGTGTGTATTAGAAATACCTTTCTCTCACATTAGAGAATTAATATCAACCTGTCTCCAGCACAGCTGACCCCATACCTAGGGCAAAGAAGTAGTGGGGAGAGCTTGTGCAGACAGGACCCACCACCAGAGCTCATAATTTCCTCCAGGAAATGTGTTCCCTTTGCAAAGTCCTGCTCAGCCCTGAGAATCTCCTCATTCTTTCAGTGGAGACCAGTCAGTGTTGGCTTTTGCAGTGTTCTGAGCAGAGGCAGTGGTTTCTTCCAGCTTTTCAGTGTTGCAGAGTTTCTTGGATGATCATTGGTATTATTCATGCACACCTCCAGCTCCTCATCCTTAAGTGACTTTGAGACTTCCTTCTATAATCCATCATACCAGCAGCCCTCTTGGCTGGCCTTGCCTTAGTAACAACTGCTTCTTCTCGCAGCAGTTCTCCTGACACTCTTGTCAGCAGGACAGAAAGCCGAGCTCAGTCAGAGGGGACTACGTGGAATTCATCCACATTTGGATGGGAAGGGAGGGTGCATGATGGATAAAGGAGATACGTGAGAGAGCATCAGAGAAAGGAGCTGGGCTAATTCAAAGAAGCAGCTCTGCCCTGTAATTCCATGTATCACTGTGTGCCATTACCTGGAGCAGAGCCTGTGAGACCAAGAAATACTCGTTCCATCTGAACTGGCTCTTGTGTGTCTGATCAAAGCCACTCTGCTTTTCCAGCCATAGACCATCTCACCTGCTGCACAAGCCTGGCAGTTATGCTACACTGGGACTTTCCCTGTTTGGCTGTTCAACTGCCCTGTTACTTTCTTTTCCCCTCTAATATCTCACCTAAACTTTTTCTTTCTTAGCTTCAGGCCATTGCTCCCTAGCCTACAATTTTCTGAGACTGTGAATAACTTACTTCATTTCTGTTGTTCCTTTGATATTAAACTGTGGTCATGTTCACCCTGAGCCATCTCTTTCACAGGAGTCTGAATTTGGCTTTCTCAGCATCTCTACATGTTATGTTCTCTAATCTACATGCTATTGTGTCCTCCTTTGTTTTCATCTTCTTTTGAAGTTTGCTTGCTAGAAATAAAGAACATCATGCTTTTAGATGGCTGTTATTTGTATTGACTTACATGCACTTCCCACAGCTAGCTGTATTTTCTTACCCAGAAGGGCTATTTTTGTTTATGTTGGTTTACTGTATGAAATTATCTTTCCCCTCTCCAAATTTAATTTCGCAAATGAAAATATATGAAAAAACTCTCCATTTTGCTGCCAAGGTGCCAACAGAAATCAGTAAGACTAAAGAAGGCAACTGGTTGTAAAGGCTCCTAAGTTCAATTTTTGTTTGCTGCAAAAGCTTTGTGTGAGTTTGGAGCAGCTTCTGCACAGGTAACAGAGGCAGGATTGTCCTCAGGACTGTCCCTGCCATTTTGGATAGTACTATCAGCCAGCTTTCCCCAGACATTCGGTTTCTCCAGTAACATAGTTCCCTGTGATTTATCACCAAAATATGAATTTTTGTCCTATGGGAAGTTCTAAGTTTGGGATTTTCTTTAAGATTAAAAAAAAATCTCAGTTTTAAAACTTGTCATGAAATACAAAATTCTTGGGAAGGAAATTCAGTTTGGTGAAAGCAGAAATGCTCCATCTAGATGATTTTGATCCAGCCTGGGTACTGGGATTTGGCTGTACTGATGAATCTCCCCTTGTCCCAGCTCAGCATCCCACAGGAGCTGCCAGTCCCAGCCCACCCTGCCCTGAGCTCTCCCTAGCAGACCCCAGGGCTCAGCCAGCAGCAGCTTCCACCACCCAGCACTGCCTCTCTTACCTTCTTGCTTTCCCTAGATAGCAAATCTACCCTTGGCAAATGTGAAATGCAAAGAGCTTCAGGAAATGGTTGTATCTCATCATGGAGAAGGAGATCATGCCTGGGACTGAGATCCTCATATGGTGAAAGAATTGCAGCTCCCTGGAGCAACAGGGAGGTTGGGAAGAAGGGAGAAATCTGAACCTAAATTTGTAAAATGAGGCCATAGTAAGATTTCTAACAATGTCAAAGATCTGAAAGATGGCAGCAGCCTCCTGCACTGTAGCATGCTGGGCTCTGTGGCAGTACTTGGGATTGGATTTCTGCACATGTGCCATTCCCTGGCACTGATGGTGTCCCTCATAAAACACAAGAACTCAGCAAGCCAGCTCTGCTTTTCCAGCCTCTGCCTCGTACTCCCCCAGCACTTGTAACCAGTCCCTTGGTCTGCTGACTCCTTTATTCTGTGAAACCACTGGCTCTTCTTGTCCTGGGCTTGTAATGGGTTTGCAATTAGGGTCTCAGCTCTGAAAAATCATGAGAGAAAGAATACCTGTAATAATGCTATTTTAAAAATAACTAATTCACAGTTCTACATTGACTTCTTGAAAAAAAAAACCTCCAATAACTATTAATAGCAATGCACAAGAGGACTGCTGACGTAAAGGACAGGACAAACGTTCTAAAATATCTCCTATCTTTGTACTCTATAAATATTTATTTGTAGCAGTACTGCCGATTTCACTGGCACTTCACTCTGTGTCAGTAGAGCCATGACAGCTTCACAGGACGATACCAAGTGAAAAGTAACATCTGCAGAGCCCCTTCCTGCCAGAAGAATTGGCCTCTGAATAATTTTTCTTTTCAGTGGTTGAACCAGAATCAGTAAGGGGAAGAATTGCTTCAGTTGTCCAAAAGACAACTTGAGTGTTTAGTTTTTTTATCACTGAAACAGAAATCTTCAAAATTGAAACTTATTTCCAATACAAAAATTCATTTTTTCTTATAAGTATCAAAACAAAACATTTGGATATTTTTAAAGTTCAGAATAAAGTTTCTCATGTTTAATTAGTTGCTACCCTCATTAAAAAAAACCCAAAAACCAACAAATAGTTCATAAGCACTTAGTAAATGAAAGATCCCAGCAAGCCTCAGCGAAATTTACAATGAAGTAATTGCCTTTTAGACAATCACTGTTTTTAATGGACACTGAAATGCACTTTGGAGATGGGCTGTTGCATCTGACTTTTAGTTAATTATTAAATTCAAAATATTTGAAATATATGTTGTAGGATTACTTTATTTTCATTTTCCCAGCAGAGACATTGACAGTTCCTGGATGATACTGCACCACACTGTCCTCTTTAATGACATTTTCTTTATAATAATCATTGATCCACACGAATTTGTCAGTTCCTAAATAGGAGCTCATTATTTACATTGCTTGTGAGAGCTCTGCCAAAGGCTGAGCATGGCACAGAGGATCTCCTGCTATGCAAGTTTGCCATATAATCACATGATAGTTGGATATTATTTGGATTCTAATATTTTGTGGCTGCTCTAAATACCACAGTGTACCAAAATACCCTGTCTTTTGTCCATGTGTGCTGACAACATTCCAAAAGGGAAGGTAAAATCTTGTGGTGAATCATCAGCAAAATAAACTGATTTGGAAAGCTGTATTTCCCACCTGTCGCCAAGAACAAGAACCTCTCATCTCCTTCTCTACCCTGTTTGGGCCAAAATATCACCTTTTTTCTTAGATTAATTGTTCAATTGGTTGACCATCCCAAGCCAGTAGTTGATGCAATAGGAACACAAAGGTCTTTGCCATCCTTCAGCAGATGGCAGGGATGGCTGGTCCTGTCTGGGCCCTCAGCATGAGCCCTGGTCCACGACCCAGGAACAGGCTGTGCTCGTGGCTGAAGGAGCAGGAGGGCAAAGAGAGGGAGAGGGCAGGGAGAGGCCGAGGAACCTCTCCCATAGTCCATGGTGAGACACCAATCCATTAACTGCTTTTGCCTCTCCTGACCTCCTTTCTCTGACACTGCTCTCAGCACATCCCTCCCCAGCCCCCACATTGACTGCAAAATACACTAAATAAAATCAGGCAGACAGCAGCCCATGCTTAAGGCACGGAAAGAGGGATCTGGGCTGTCCAGGGGCCCTGGTGAGGCAACAGACATGAGGCAAAGGGGTAAAAGGGTGCAAGAGGAAGGTATAAATTCAAGACCTAGAGCTGAGACTCAAATATAGGAGTAAGAATCCAGATGAGCTGAAAGGGGAGCTGGCATCCATGCTCCAAGGGATTCATGGAGAACTGAAGGCTGCCTGATTGTTAAAGTGTCTTTTCAAGGACACCAAGGAGGATGGGAACAGTTTACAGCAATTCCTGGTGGCAGAGACAGGATGAGTCTCCCACAGGCTGGACCTTCAATCAAAGTATGGCAAAGCCTTGCTTTTCCCTCTCACTGCTCTAGGTCTTGTCCTAGAGTGACCTTGAATGTTATGAAAGCGAACACCTTCTGGAAATGAAATTGTAACTTGTGGTATAAGAGCACATGTGAAGCTCGAAAAAACCACAGACATTGCAAAATCATGTTTTAGTGGGTCTGGTCCTAAGGAGCAGCTGTGGCTTCCAGCTATTTTACAGAGCCCTGAGAGGCATCATCCTCTATAATTTTTAAAAGAAAAGACATCAACAGTTCTGTGACTTCTTCCCTTTATAGAGAGGGGGAAGAGATGGGGAAGGCCTCCCCGTCCTTTCTCAGAGAATCCCCTGGATGAAGGAAAGGGGAGTCCTTTAGGACCCTTCTAGATATCACTACAACACTTACTCTTTTTTAGTGATTTCCAGCAATTCTCACAGATTAGTGCCCCCTCAGGGCGGTTCTGCTCACAGGCACATAATGCTCTGTTTTCCCCTTCCCTCAGCATCTCCCCTGAAACAGTATCCTTGGGAAGAAGAAAGGTTTACAGTTCTTGCCCCTTTTTCATCTTGTAAGCTGTACTCATTCTCTGCTGCTACACAAGCAATAAACCAGGCACCCAAGCAGGGATTGTCTTAGTAATATTCCATTTCTCTGTCAGACTTTAGGTCAGGTGATAATTTTGGGTGAGGCATTGTCTGCAAAGATAATGAATACAAGAAGCTATCTTCATCCCAGCAAGGGATAAACTAGATGATCCAAGTGATTTTCTCTGTCACTATCTATGTTTCTACTATGGAATAAACTGCTGGACGAGGAGAAGGATTTATTGCTTGGACTGCAGTGATGGATACTTCCAAAAAAGCTCAACTCAGGTTATCTCCTCACTGCCTCATAAGGGCAGTGTGTGTCCAGCAAAAAAGGATATTTAGCTGCTGTGCAGAGACAACCTGAAGAGCACAGCATACTCCCCCTGAAGGGTGTCACAGATGGCAAAGATTCTTGGTGTGGATGGCTCCAGTCTTGAATATCAGCAGGAACTTGAGGCAAATTTTGGCTTTGTTTTCAGCCTTTTTGGGATATACTTCATTCTAGAATGAATTCTTAGGACTTGTGTTCTAAGAAAGCTCTAGGAATACTGAAGTAGGGAGGAGAGTTCTGGGGAAATGCATGGATTACAGTTTTTCCCTTCCCTGGAAGCCTGAACAACATTCACAGCCTGTCCATTACCAACCTCAGGGCAGGAAAAAAATTGCAGTCCTGATGCCAGCAGAAAACTCCTCCATGAAGCAGTCTGTTTTTAAGATCCCCTTCATTATACAGGAAAGGTCTCACAGGTCAGTCTGTTGTTTTACTTTTTAAATGAGAATGCCATAGTCCAGCCCTCAGCCTTGTACATTTGTTTTTCCAGGCAAATGAAGAAAAAAAACCCTTTAGTGGGTTCAACAAAGGGAACCAAAGATAATTGTTTATACTATATAGACATAAAGGTGACTCGTGGATGTTTATACTTCCCAGACTGAGAAATGTTATTCAAGGGAACAGGATGTTTTGAGCCTAGAGCATCTTATGTTTTTCTGTGAAATAAAACTCCATAGTATCACAGGGTCAATAGTTTTCTTCTGCTGTTAGTCCCTCAATTCTATTAAGAAATTCTTGAATATTCTTCCCCTGCCTCTTTTCCCTTTTTCTTTTTCTTTTGTTTTGTTTTATTTTTGTTTGTTTGTTGTATGTTTGTGTGTTGTTTGTTTGGCTTACCAGATATAGAAATGCTTCTCTTAAAACCTTATAGTCGGTGAGTGTAGCTGACACTGGATAAAGTTGTCATTATGATTTAGGATTTCACTGATTGTGCTTTATTATTTTTATATTTTGCAAGAGGTTTTTAACTTTCCTTTTGTGTGTTCATAGAATTGTTTAAAGTGAAGGGGTTTTGCCATACTGAAAGGATATTGAGGAGAGCCTGTTGTTATTACCATGCAAGCCAGACAGTCTGAACAGTCTTTCAGTCAGATGTAAATCCACAATTATAAATCACCATGTGAAGGGGAATAGCAATCACTGCATTTTGATCTATCACCACAATACTTTTCATATAAATATACTGACCAGAATAGGAAATTTAGGTGTATTTTCTGTGTCTTTATGCAGTAAACATCTCTTTGAAGCACCATTTGTGCTAGACGTCAAGAGTATCTCTCAATAAGAACAGCTCACAAAGAAGAGATGGTGCCAGCCTTATGCACAGCAGAGGGATTTAAAATAAAACACAAAGAAACCTGCTGGGTGACAGAACTGTATAGGCCTGTAAAATTTCTACAAACTGGGGTGTACAGCATGTGTAGTTGTGTATACTTAATGCTTAAATAGTTCCCTCTACTTCAAAGAGAAGGGCTGTCCTGGGAGCTATGGGGCAATCAGAG